CACCCCTCTGCTCTTCTTAGTACCACCGTCCACGGTCTCCTCTATATATTGTAATTGTGTTTTATCGTTGTATTCTTCTTATTTATTGTTATTGTCATCCTGTAAAGCTCTTTGAGAAGCCACCTTTAAAGGCACTATATAAAATAAAGTTTATTATTATTATTATTATTATTATTATTATTATTATAATTTATTATTTGGAGTGGTAGCCTCAAAAGATTCATACACTGCAGCGGTAATCACATCTCAGGTATCAAAAGCCAAAACATGATACATGTCTTTGTCCAGAAGATACTGCACATCATCCCAGCACATATGCAGAAAACCGGTATTCAACAAGCCCAAAATATCTCAAATTAGTAGGCTAAGCCATTACAATTTTCTGTAAACGCAATACAGCAAATTGAGATTCTGATCATGTCTGAGCTACAAAGGGTTTTAAACTTAAATGTTTCTAAGATGCAAAGTTGCATGAAGTAGAGAAAATTATTGTTTTAAATTTAAATTATTTTGATTAATTTATTGACCTTGGGCATCCTTTTTCTATGTAGTGATCAGAATCCTCATGATTTTGATTTTCACTATTACAAGACAGTGGAAGCACAAGCCACTAGCAAAAGAGATTTCAGAGAACCTCAAACAAAATAGAACCTGGATAAGGTTACAAAACGATTTCTAAATATCTGGTGATCCATTCATCCACTCTCAGGTAGTCTATAAATGTACAATATTCAGGACATTTTGATTCTACCAACGACCACTCCTGCCAAGATCTGCCCAAGAGCAACCCAGAAATTCATCCAGGAACGACAAGGTATCCCAGAGCAACTGTGTGGGTATTAAAAATAACAAAGAGAAAGTAAAAAAAAAAATAGCAGAGGTAGATTTTTTTTTAATCAAATGTAAAAACGTCTCTGTCCTTGTATCTCTTAGAAGTGGATAAAAAATGTAATAGCAAAAAATGTATCCAACACATTTCTATTTACATAACCCACTAGATGTGCAAACTATCCCTGCACAAGACTAGTTCAGTTCAACTGCATCACATGCTGCGATTCTGAAAAACGTTTCACGCTTTAACAAAGCATTTTTGCTACTTCACCTAATTATTCCAGTGGCAAAACATGACGCGTAGCTATAATTAGTCATTTTTACTAGCTGGGTCGTCATAATTTGCATCAAAATTGTATTTATATAAAAATCCGAAAAGCCCTCTTGGTTATGAAGAGGGCAGGCAAACAGATGTCCAGAGAGCACTCTCACGCATTCCCAATTCTTGAGAGATAGGCTAAGGGTTGGTGTGACATTAACAGAGATGCATAATAAATGGTTTTCTCATAATTCAGAGATAAAAAGTAGCCCGTAAGGATTAACTTTAGTCTGTATAACAACGATTTTCTTTTAGATTTAGAAGGTTCAAGATAAACATAAAAAATCACGTATAGAACAATAATCATCAGTAATTATGAAAGGCGAGGATACATTTCCAATCTATTTCTTCAAGGCACACGAAACCTGACGTGTTGCAAGTCCTGCGCATGCGTAGTGCGCAGGGTAGGACATTTTTACTAGCCAATTTATCTTTACTCCTGGATATTTATGTAACTTTTGCATTAGCCGTTTGGGGTTACAGTGCTGTTGTCTTTGCTAAGAATATGCTGCTGACTATGTACAGGCTTTGTTCTTCGCACCAGGGTTTTGTCCCGGGTCTTAAATGGGTAAGGATTAGCCTACCTGAATGAGACCTTGCTTCAGCAGTGCTGAATGCACGCAGCCAGGCACAGCCGCGGTGAGTGTCAATGACCCGTTCTTATTTTTCAGTGTCCAGTTTCCGTTTAGTCTAAGTGTTTCGACAACCAGTTTGTTCGGAACGGCTCCAGATACTTTGGTGCTCCCCAGCAGCATGCACAACAACCCAGCAATCAGATAAGCCGCCACTCGTTTCCTAATAAAGGATTTCATCTCGGCGGGCAGTAACAACGAAAAGCTAAGAAACAGGCTTCTCATTCATTTTATCACGTAACGTTTCACACCAAGAAAGGTCATGCAACTTTTTTTGTTGTTGCTGTTAACCGATGTCAAAACTTTTCACTAGCAACTTCCTGTTTTTTTTTGCACAATAAATCAGGTGATGCGTCATGTGACTTAAACATTTCTCCATTGCTGTTCGGTAACGTGTGCATTTTAGAAGCCCTTGTTTTCATATTTCTCGAATTATTTATTTCAGACAGTATAAATGGGATTAATAACTATATATATACACACACATAAGAATCTGAAAGCTCTTTACATCAAAGCGAAGACCCTCTTCTTCTATGACTAAAATACAGCTGCCAGAGCCGTTGGATGACGCGCGGCAGCCATTAAGCGCCAGTAGACCTCAAGCACAGCAGAGAAGGTAGAGAAGTCAGAAATGATTTAGTCATGAAGAGGGAGTTTTTTTTAGAAGTCTACATAGTAAAAGCCTGAAGTGTAATTTAGCCACTTCATCCCCACTTTCTTCAAAAGATATCCAGAATTGTGTGCATAAATCACAAATTGTAGTATTACATCCAGTTCAATGCATTAGTCAGCCCTTCAGTTAAAAGATAGCCGATATTAGTCTAATGCAATTGGTATTGTACATAATATAAAAAACAAATATACACATGCACTGATACAGTAATATTTATATTGTGAAAACACTTTTCTGTATTGGTAATAGATCTTTTTTTAAATTAAATTAGTCAGTTGAAACGGACTAATAGCAGACAACAGCTCCAATATGCAGGATGCAAGTATGATATATAGGGTGATTTTAACGGACATTTACTACATTTGTGCTGACAACATTCAGGAAAAATTAGGATCTGCACAGAGGATCATATCTTCTGTAACCACTACGGTTTGTCTCCAAGCGTATTGATAAATGCTTAACAACCTGTAACTAGAGAATGGGAGACACTGGATTTGAATTACCAGCCAATACCTCTCCATATGAAAAGCTTAATGAGCCCCAGCAGCACCTACCAAAGTGCATAAACTCTGACATTTATGCATGGCCCATTGGTATTCTATCAGGCTCCATTGTCATTTATTTTATTACTGATGTGTATTTAGAATGTTTTGTGAGTATGTTAGGTGGATGTTATTATTGGCTATTATATTGTGTTTTTGTATTGCATGTCTTTAATTCTATGAGCCCATCAAACCAAATTCCATGCAAGTGGTTGTTATGGCAATAAAGTATTGATTATGAGTAAATTAGTTCAGCATACTAATGGAACCAAAACAAACTTCCAGTTCATTTCTTGTTGATTGCATTTTCTTTTGTGATAAGAGATTGATACTCATCTTCACAATAGGATGTCACATATAAAGTTTATGTTCATCAAATCATTAAGCTGATTTGAGAAGAACCTGGGACAAATTTAGCAGGGAACAACCCAAAACTCTCTCTCTCATACTAACGTTAATCCCGCATCAGCAGGGTCCGCTTGTCGGCACGCCCGTCTCCATTTGGTGGTTTGAACCAAATCTTTGAGCTGACGTTGCCATTAAATGCAACCGAGAATACCCCAACCGGCGCGTCGCTCCGCCTGCCGTCAGAGAGTACCCCAAAACTCTGATGAGGGGAAATACTCCCAAAACATTCCCTCTTGCTTTCAGATAAGTCACCAGCTTGTTCTAATTGCTGCATTTTGGCACAAGGCAACAGGATGTTCCCATCATGCTAGCTGGGTCTACTCATCTGTGTGCTTCTCAAGGGCAGGCTGAGAAAGGTCACCTTATTCACATTCTCTTGGAGAATTTTATGGAACACTTTGACTGCTGCCTTGAGCCCTTACTCTTGGAAGCAACCAACATTCTCTTGGTCTATTGCATTTTCTATTTAATGAGTCTTCATCCAGTCATAAATCATGTCATTCTGGATTTCTCCTTTGTGTATATTTCAGCAGTTTTAAACTGTCAATGAAAAATGACTGTACAATGTCATTAAATTTATAGCCATGTTACCCAAGTCTTGCAAAGTCACTGCAATTACTTAAAGGCGAATACAGGGGGTACTCATCTAAACATGTTAAAGGTTTGACAAAAAGTATTTTGGTAACCTTTTATATCTGTGAAACATCAAGTTATCTTTGAAATTAATTTATGAATAAATGCATGGAACACAGGACCTTGTCATCTTAATACATCAAAAAAGTACCAGAACTTCTCCAAGTTGAACTGGAGTATGCTGGACTAGGAGAGCCCTTTTTAGCAAATGAGGACTAGTTTCTGCAATATGAACTAATTTCACTAAGTGTCTCACATGGAGAGCTGAAAAGAAGCTATTAGACATCTGTCAGACATTTGATGCTGCAGGATAATTCTCAGTATTCCGGAATAGTTCCGGATAGCTCCATTTTAATACCTAGTTACTGCCAACGTTTGTCTTGATTTTGTAAAAATGAAAATTGAAGCACCTCTACAAGAAATTTTGAAATGCCATTTTATATCTGCACAGTTGCCGTTTATGAAAGTGAAAGTATGCACAGCTGTACCATTACTTTAGTGTGGTGTAGCAAAACACATGGGCAGAAGTACAGTATTTCCAACTATTAAAATTCCAGGCCCCTTCAGAATTCTGCTGCTGCTATTCAATTAAAATTCCACAATTCTTACCATATGAATTTGAAGGTACTCCAGTAGAAACAAGTACCTTTGTAAAGATACTTATATGCAAATTCTTTAAAAAATTTTGAACCGTAGCCAACGCAGAACCCAAATCAACCTAAGTGCATTACTTGCGTTTTCAAAAGAAATGATAATCCCCTCAGGATCAAACATTAAAATAGCTTTTAAGCAGTAAAACAGCTGAAGATGAGAGCTGTTCACCAGCAAGGAAGGAAGCTCAAGAAAGGTGTAACACTGATAATAGAAGCTAGTGCAACAGACTGGAAACAGCAGCTGTCAGAGAGCACCATCCTCTACTGTTCTGGTGCCTATTACACACTGGCAAGATAATACTACAATGCATGTCTACAGAGGACTATGTGAGTCTACGAATGTCTAAATATATAGTGTACATACACTGCATCAAACATAGGAACATAAGCACACAAACGTAAGGCGGCACACTGTACAATGGAGGAATTTTGAACATAGTACATCGCTAAAAAAAAATTGGAAAATAGAATTAGTGTAGCAATATGTACTTTCCCCCATCAGTATAGTATTAAAGTTACCTAAAAAAAACAAAGATCTAGTCTATTTAGTGTCCTGCTGGTTTCTGCAAATAAGTGAGGATATTGAGACAAGTTCTGGATTGAATATTCCTATGGGTTATATACAAGTTGTATCCATGTGAATTTTAGTAACCTTAAAAAAATGCATTATAAAATTGTTCAAATAAAGCATGAATCCAAAAATCTACAAATTGCTTAATGACTTGTTTCTAAGAATGACTAGAGCATCAGCTGAAGAATTTAACCAATTTTGATGTTGACTTATCAGCATTATACAAATGGAAACAGGCTATGTGATATTGGTTTATGTAACTTTATTGAGGAAAAATAAATCAATAACTAGCAGAGCTATTAGTTGATCGGTCAACCATTGAGAGCTTTGCATCATTTATTCAGTGCTACAGAAAACAGTGTTGTGGAAGATAGATTAACTAATAGCTCCCGACTTCTAAAAACAAAACAGAAAAGAAAAAAATGAAAAAAATTACAAAATGTTCTGACCCTAGTAGGGGACTTAGGAGTATCCCCCATCCCACCCCTCCCACCCCCAAATCTCCATTCTCTGCAGAACATAAACAGGTTATTCCTTTATTAACATGCATAAAATACAGCATTATTTTCTGTACTGCTGATGCTTATACACTCTGCAGCAATACTTCACTCACTCTGTCAGTTATGAGCATAAAATACATTTTCATAGACCTCAGGTCTCTAACACTAGCAGAAAAGCTTACAAAAAGATGGATGCTATCCAGCAATGTGGTGATCCTGATCAGATGAGGCTGACTGCACATGAAGCATCCTTTTTTTCGCTGGCATCTTCAGTGTGTTAGAGCAATGAGGCACACTTTTAGTCTCATAACCAAGGGGCTGTGAAGGTACATTGGCCATTTACGGACACATGCTCCATTAAAGAGTTCAGAACCTTGGGCGATTTTTGATGAGAACTACTTTAGAAATTCAGAAAGCTGGTCTTGTCCAAGCTGGAGAGACTATCTTCTCATAAGAGCATGTGAATGAATGGGGGAAAGGGGGGGAGGGTAGGGCAAAAAAAAGATATGGTCTGATAAGGGGAGCAGCCAAATACGATAACCAAAGAAACCAGTAATTTAAAGTTTATTCCAGCTATAATGCAGGTTGTTCCGACTTCCACAAGGTAGCATCACATTGCATACTTCTGAGTCCATTCCCGGGCTATTCTGTTGTACCTGTGTGAAGATAAAAAGCACAATCTAAACAAAACCACAACAGAAAGCATTAAAGAGCAGAATTACCCATTTCATAACCATCTGCTGCAAGCTGTGCTGGAGCAGTAGTATGTTTTGCAACTTGTTCAAACCAACAACCTAAAGATTAGTTTGCCAAACTGTAATTTTCACGTGCTGAGGTCTATAAGCACAATCTGACATTTTGCTTCGGGTTCAAACCAAACAAAAACAAAAAATAATAACAGCTTTATGGAAATTTTATGATAATAAATTTGTCTAGTATTCCTGCCAACATGCCTTGTCAGATCAGTAGTAGATCGAAGATCTCTTCCACTTCACTGAAATGACCCTTACAACCTCAGAAGTATTATATTGTTATATCTCCTGGCTCAAGTAGTTGCAGTGGTAAAATAAACTGAAAAGGTACAGACTGACTGGCAGGTCTAAATAGGGAAAGCCGTAGTGCAGTGGTTCTCAAACTATGGTACGCGTACCATGCCAGGTGCTCTGCCATATGACCCTGGAACCTTGTTGTGTGCACTGAAAAATCGGGACGGGTTTTCATACTTTCTATTTTAATACGTGTCGAATACGCAGCCTATTAAGCGCGCTAATACTTGAGTGGACAAGAGTTACTATATAATTCTATACCATTCTATAGGAATGCGTACTACGACACGCAAGCGACCAACTGTATTTAAAAAAAGGTATCTCCAGCAAATAGGGAGGTAGGAGAATGTGCGTGACTGGAACAATGCCAATGTTGTAAGCACAGGAATGCATAGAAATGTGTGCTATGAACGCTGGAAATCTTTTGAGCACAGGAAAGTGTGATAGAAAACAGAAAAATTTAAGAACTGTTCTAGGTTAATTTGAGAAACATACACTGAGCGTCTCTGCGTTTCACTCCTATGCGCGTGAAATAAAAACTTATTTTAACTTCTGAGACGGACTCCTGAAACTGAAAACGGGGGAAAATGCAAGCTTGCGGATTGCTAAAGCAGGTAAGCCCCACACTATTTTTGACGAACCTTATTTACCGTTGACAAAAGAGCTGACACGTATTGTGTGGAGAAAAAGCTGCTAAACAGCTCGAACGGCTGCCCCCTCTGAAAGACACAGCCCCTCACAGAATTATTGATATGGCAGATGATATCAAAAGTACATTGATAAAGCGTGTTAAGATGACCAGATGCGCACGTGAGCTCATATCGGTCATTGAGAATTTTTGGGGTGCCTTGGAGGAGATGACTTGTAGGTGGTACTTGGATGGTTTGGTTTGATCAGGGGTGCCATCACTGCCATCGTGAAAATTCCAAATATCTAAAACTACCTTACAATTCCTAGACACTTCCCAATGGCTTTTGTTTTGTGGGTCTATCACATTGTAACCAAAACAGAAGTTATTCAAAAATCAAAAATGGCTTTGGATTCAGTTTATTAATGTTAGGTCTTGGAAAGGACACTATAGCCCACCTCTACTCTTTTGCAGAGTAAGGTTGCTTCTTCTGTCCTGCACTAAGGGAGTACTGAGAAAAAACTGACCTCATACCAATTTTACAGAGAGATAAAGGAGAAAAATGGGATAAGAGGAGAAAAGGTTGACATATTGGAATCTGAAGAAATCCACAGATATCTTGGACAAGAGGCTAATGTAAAATAGCCTATGTATTTGGTATAGAATTCCCAAAGCACAAAGACTTTAAATGAGTGTGACTACAAGAAACAAACAAACATTCATTTCTTAGAGACAAACATTTTTTACAGCAGTTTCATTCATATTCACACAGCATTTTATTCAGTTTATACTATATTCTATACACAAGACTGAATATCTCCTTTCGCAAATGTGAAAACAATCGAATAAAGCAAAGTCACAGCAAGATAAAGTATACAGGTCTAATTACTGGACATAAATTACCCAAATCACCATGGGATTAGATTTGATTAGGATTGCTATTCTATTATGTATTGGGTGCAAGCTCCAACTGCTGTCCCGATGAACAAAATAGGGAAAAAAAACAACAAATATGCAGTACTTAAATGAAAAGGCACCATAGTGCAATTACCCTTTTACAGATTTCTTTCCCAAAGATGAACTGATATTAAATTAAATTACTCCTAAAATGGGCTTCTTTTGGTAGATTAAAATAAAAAAAGGTCAAATATCTCAGATTTAGATATGCAAGATCTAGTCTAAAATTAATGTATTTTTATTCATACTTTTCATAGTTCCTTTTGACATATTAAAGAAATACACCAAATACGTTGACCTGAATCCAACCAGGCTACTGGAAGATAAAAAAACCCTGGTTTTCAAGTGTTTATTGAACATAAGCCTCCCTGATATCAAACACCACAATCATGTCTCCAAGCAGTTAATCCATTACAGCCCAAAGTGTTTAAGCCTTGCTTGGTTAGTTTAGAAGAGTGAGGTTGCTTTCATGCAGCAGTGCAAGTGTCCTCACACCAAGATGCTTGGTGATCTTACCCTAAAGCATTGCATATTTCTCTGTCCACTCCCTTGCTAGTCTATTATACCTAATAAAGCAGAAGGTTGCCATGTCATGTTGATACTTCTATTTCCTTGACCTTCTAAGGATATTAACACAAAAACTGCTTTAAAATTGAATTGAAAATTTTACACACACTTTAAAGCCATGTAATTGCCCAAAAAAACTGGAGCATGACTTCCCCGATCTCCTATAACAAAGATTAAAATACAGCAGGAAGTATTTCCCAGTTCCAACAATTCCTCTCAAAGGTAGGACTACTATAAGAGTATGAAAGGTGAACATATACTCACTTTTCCCTATCTGTTTTGTAGATGCGTGCAATCTCTGGCACTAAAGGATCATCTGGGTTTGGATCACATAACAGAGAACAAATGGACAAAAGAACTGCAAGAGAAGAGATTTTAGTATTATAGTTTCCATTTGTAGGAGGATTAAAAGGCACAACTAAAACAATGTGGGAATATATGGAGATGGAGCAGACAGGACAAGGACTGCTCCATCTTTCAGCAGAGAAATGGAAGGTAAATGGAAATGAGTAAAAGGTAAACCAGCTGAAAAGTACTATAAACAGGTCATTTTGTTATAAATTCTTATTAGATAAAAAGTCACAACGCACTTTCTGTATTACCCTGTCTGAAGAATACAACTCTGCACTGTCAAAATTAATAGAAAGTTAATGGGAGAAAAAAGAGGCAACTCCAAAAAACTGTTTGAACAAATAAATTGCAGTCCGAAAGTATTTGTACAGTGATCAATTTTTATTTTGGCTCTGTACCCTCGCACATTGGATTTGAAACGAAACAATGACTGAGGTTGAAGTGCAGAATTATGCAGGACTATGTATAAAAAGCACTGCGATTCCTATAGGGTTCACCCAATATAGATGTAAATACCCTCGAATTACAGCTGACATTCTGCACTTTAACTTCATTTCAAAACAAGTGTGCTGGAGTAGAGAGCCAAAACAACAAAAAATGTCACTGTCCAAATACTTACTGACTACACTATTTATAAGCCACATGAATACTAAATTCTTACCAGATACCAGTAAAAATAGCCAAACGATTTAATTATGAACATTCTTCAGAAGTGCAAGTAAAAAAAAATATTTTATTCTGTTCCTTCTGACAGTGTTCATTTTATAACCCATACTACATCACTATTGACATAAAAACCTGGTAATCATGACTAAACTACTTAAGCTGTTTCAAGCCCTAATTTTAGGATTTAAAACCATAAATGTTACTCTATAATACACAATACTGACATTATCCAAGAAATATCAGAAAGTCCAATTCAGTGTTCAAACCCTTACCTTTAGAAATAGTTAATGCAGGAGACCACTGTGATCTTAGAATATCGAGGCAGATGCTGCCATTACTGTTAATATTTGGGTGATAAATTCTTGTGGTAAAGGCAACCTGAAAAACAAAAGCAAACTTTTAATTGAAGAAGCAGTTGTTCCATTTTATGTGTATAAAATGCTGTACAAAGTAGAAAGAAATGTTACTATTCCCCTCCTATTTGAAAGGTCAACAGAAGTGGCCAAGTCACCATTCAATTCACCAATAATATGCTCAAACAAAATGCTTTTTGCCTTTACTGAACGGTAACATTCATGTATTTGCTCACCTTCCATTCCTGCCTTGACATTGTGGAATTCTGGCACAAAAGCTGAAATTACAGCTCTCCAACTCTTGCTAAAATAGCTCTGAAGTGTTTGTTACCCATTTGCAGCATGGACTACGAAGAGATTGATTTCCTCTTGTGAAATGCCAAGCTCAATCAGACAACCTAGCAATATACAACAGCCTGAATTGTGGAAAGCTCTAGGTAAATTTGAGTAAAAAACATTTCTTCTACTAAAAATACCTATGCCAAAATTGTAGCCCTAATCGTCAATTATTAATCTAATTGCAGTACTCACCTTAGGAGGTTTGAAAGGGTAGTCTGTAGGAAAGTGAATTGTCAAGAAGAAAACACCACCTTGATATGGACTGTCATTCTGTGGAAGAAAATGTGACAATCAAGGGGCAAGACAAAAAAAACCATTTTAAAACTAAAAATGTGTAAATGGTAAGTACTTACAGGTCCCATGATTGTGGCTTGCCAATGAAACACTAAAAAATAAAAAAAAAGAAAGTTGAAAGGGGGAGTTCAAACTTAAATTAAATTTAAAAATGCTTAGTAAAAAAAAACTTACTGTCATCTCCAACTGGACCCGCTGAACACTGTGCTGGTGGGTCTCGTGCCAAGTCGTTTAGCTCCTGAAAAAAATGATACTGTTAGACTCATAGTGGCACAACACATTGCTCTTTTATGTAGCTGGCACATTCCAAAATTAGCAGCAGAACTGAAATCTGTAATTCTGTAAAATGTAATTCTTTTTTTAGCCAAAGTCCTTCTAAATTTTTAGTTCACCAGAACTATAAAGCTCTACATCACATCTTAATGGCTGTTACATCTGTGAAATTGCCAATTTGATGATTAAATACTAAGATAGGGTACTTTGTCCTAGTTTTGGGGTGATTGGTTTTAATACATTTAAAAGGTACAGTACACCAATTTTCCTAATTCACTAAATATCAACAAACAGTAATAGGCAACCAGATTTATATTAAACAGAAAATGTACATATTTTCTTTTTTTTGTACAATATATTGTACAATGTTTAATGTTCTGGTGGCCTGATGGAATACAATTTTTATACACACGTGAATAGAAAAGCTGGCAGGCCCCACGTTTGTCAGATCAATCATCATAGGAGTGTTACATCTGTCTCAGACTGATAGTCCAGTGGCAAGCCAAAAATGAATTCAAGCAGAAAAAGTAAACCTAACAGTAGAGCATCTAAAGGAATTAATGGTAGCTTCCCTTCACCTTCAAAGCATTTAATCCTAGACAAAATCATCTATGCTAATGCTGTACTAAAGCAATGGTAGGAATTGAAAATGTAGACTTTTAAAACCATTTCTCATGTCAAGTGAAGTCCGCATTATAAGAAAAACGATTTTCAACATAAATGATCTTTTAACACAGGACTCATTTGTCTGACATGCAAACCTGAAATCATGTACATAAGACTTAAATACAAGGAAATATTATATTTTAGAAACTGCTATTGCAGCATAAACTGTAAAACCGTAAACAAAGGCAATGTTGGTATTAGTACTAAAGATACCCCATATAAGCACAGCTCACCTATAAATTGCAATATTGCACTGGCTACTGTATGAAGCTTTATAAAAGGGTTTTTGGACAGTCTTACCCCCTTTTCTTTGCTTTTATATTACCTAGCATTGTTTGAAGAGAACGAAAAATCTTAACCAGCATGACAAATCCCACAATTATGAATAACAAAGGATATGTGCCTCATCAAGTCTTAAGCATTCATTAGAACACACACCCTTTCAGTCCGATTTTACATACAAAAATACACTCAACTGAAATTTCACTGAGTATATGGCCAATGACCTCAATATGCGGCCCATCAAGTTTAAAACGGTAGACATGAAACAAAGAACCACAAATACTTTATTACATGGGGCTTTTTAGTGGTGTGATGTTGGTGCTCTTAAAATAGAAACACGAAACAGCACAGCTACTTCAGTGTTTTAATTCACTGTCCTGTTCCAATGGGAAGGAAAAGCATCAGATCATTTCAGAATCCATGAAGATAACCACCCAAACGCCGAGTTCAACCAGCAGTAAAAGAATGCGTGCAGGCACAGGGACAATTAACTTTTATATGACTGATGAAATGAAATCAAATAAACATCTCCAAACTTGAAACAGTGAGAGTCAACTGCTCAATTCTGTTTACTGTACCAACAATGCCCAGCTTTCACTGCAGCTACCCTGCGCTCAACTCAGGCCATTTCTTTCTACAGCCGAAAGCCGCCCTCCCCCACAAAAAATAATTTATGGCACTTTTTTTCTGAAGGAGGAAAGAAAAAAAAACAAAAAAACCTCTTTTCATCAGGGCACCTGCGTGCGGTATAGTTTCCACAGTTCTTTGCATTGAAAGCAAGCCAACACAACCAGCAAGTCAAAGATGCCTCCACCTCTGAGTTAAACCCTGCTCTGCAACACCTTTGCTCAGAACAGCCTGAATAAAAAAAAAACACTGCTAAAAATCAAACGTTTTCATTACATTCACCAATATTTTTGTTGCACCGTCAGCAGCGTGGCTAGTGGGGTTTCAAACCAATTGCTCTCCATTTCTTTTGCACGGGAGGACAAGGTGACACACTTCTCACATACGCAGTAGCTCCTTTGCACTGTCACTTGCAGGTGGACTCCCTACTAAGTATGTGACAGATTAGCCAGTATCACCTACAGTAGGTAGTCCTACCTACTAGGACTTTGAAGAGACTCATTTGGCTATTTCACCTGAATTTGCAGCGTCATTCTAAAAGGTCACATTTGTTTAATATTTTAATCAACAAAGAGAAAATGTAGCGATGTCGGGCTTTCAAGATTGTGATGCAAAACCAAAGAAGAAGGAAGTGATGTAGACAGAGCCCGTTTTTCTGTGTGGCAGTGGAAAACAAAATCGGACCCACCGCTCAAGAGTGTCAAAAGGTCAGTGCCGACTCTACTAGAACTTAGGCCTTCGCCTGTTCTGGGTCACCTTAAACAGCTTCCACCTGTTTATTAAGATCAATTTCACATAAAATGTCATTTTGCATTCGACAGATTTCATGCTTGGAAAGTTAAACCATGCCAGATGATTTCAAGTTTGATTTTTTTAAATCTGGCTACAAATGTCCTTCTACATTTGCAGGTAAATCTGGATCTTAGATCAAAGAAAACAAAAAACAAAGTAATGGTGGTTTTAACATTAAAATGTTTCAGTTTTAAAGAGCGAACACTAGCTGCAGAGCACATTCTCTGCTGTGTGCCAAGATAGCATCACTAACAGCATCAGTATTCCCCTTTAGTTTAACCTTTTCACCAAATTTTAATCCCGTAATCGGAGATGCGCTCACACTGATCTGAAAACTGTGATATTTCACACACAATTGTGGGTACTGGTAGCTGAATTTCGGTGTGAACTGACGTAGGTGCAACAGGGCCTCTAGGTCTTATGATCAAGAAGAGTTTAATGTTAATGCAAACACAGCAGCTGCTGCCAGAGTGTATTATGTTAAACCAATGCCAGAAACCAGCTGCTCTGACCTGAAAAATAAAACAGTGGGTTTTTAAAATCGCTCTTTCAATTTCACACAGCAGACATCAAAAGCAGAGACAACTAACCCTTTCTGCTTATCCCCACATATGTAGCAAGAGGAAGTTGGTGTAATGCAGAAAGAGCTGAAATATTTCAGAATTTGTTTATATGGTGCAGTATCAGTCACTGGTTGAAGATAAAATCTGTAGATTACAAGAAAGTCAAAGACAAATGGTGTTTAGGAACATGTTAAATGTGGCTGTTTAAAGAAATAATGGCTTGAAACATGTAGTTGAGTTGTACAACAAAACTACTAGTGACTAAGAAATGCACTGCCTATTAGACACCAAAAGGGCAAAAAATCTTAGATGCTATATTTCCAGCAACTCCTTTCACCCTAAGTTGATGAAATGGTAGCTGCATCAGCATGCACAGGCTGCAAAGAAACAGGTAAAGGTTATTCCATGCTAAGAGAAAAAGAGATGCTTCAGCTGTGGAGCCACTATCTAAAGATGGCTCGACAGCCGAAACGTTGTCTCTCTTCCTTTCAGCATGGAATAAACCTTTACAAGTTCCCTTATGCAGAAAAAGGCCTAGAGACTGGCTTACAAATAAAACCAGTTGCATTTGAAATGCATTAATTTCCCTGTCACTATAAAAACCCACAAACATCAGGAATTCTATATAAATGCAATTAAGCAAAAAAAAAACTAATCAGACAACATACAAATACAAGAATACATCATCAAGTTCCCCTTTTAATAATTACAGCTGAGGTTGCAGATTCAGAGCGAAATGTATATGCATTAACATCATATGCGCATTCCTTTAAGAACATTTACGCTTGCATTGTATGCGTTAATCCAATTATTTCGTCTGATTTCTTTAATAAAGAATGAATAAAGGACTTGTACTCTGGAACTAACAAAGAACTAAGCATGTTAGTCAAGCTGAGCACTGATTATGGATCTTAACCTAGAGCGCTATACCCAAGAATATAAGACAAACCCATCCCACACTTGACAAATACTGCCAGGATACCTCTCCCCATTTGTTTATCCATACATTTTCTAACGGCCTCTTTCAAATCAGGGTCACAGGAGACCCAGAGCCTATCCGGGAACGCAACGGGGACAAGATGGGATACACCCTGGACAGGATGCCAGTCTATTGCAGGGCACACAAAAAAACACGGGACTCGCACCAGGGACAATTTTCCCTGAAGCCGATTAACCTTCCAGTACATCTCGGAGATGAACATGGGCTGAACATAGAAACTCCACACAGATAGCACCCCAGGTCTGGAACAGCACCCAGGGCCCCAGTGTTGTGAAGCAACAATGCTAACCACTGTGCCACCCTCATTTGTTTAGAATGAGAATAGAATAGAATAGAATTTGGCCACTGAGTATATGGCTTTTAATACTTCTTTAAAAGCTGTGAATAGCCAAATAAACACTGTTGAAGGATCAATTCTACAACACCACGTTCTTATTCCTGTATAAACATTACAGCTCCCAGGATGCACAAGGACAGGTTGCAAATGGATGGGCTTCCTCCACTCTGTGCCTGTATAGTCATAGATCAGTTCTCTCAATGCCAAGTCTGCTCACTTAATCATGGCAGGGCTCTGATGTGTATTATATCAGATACTAGGGCGGAGCGGTGGTTCTGTGGCTAAGGATCTGTGCCTGTGATCAGCAGAGGAATCCTACTCTGGTGGGCCCCTGAGCAAGGCCCTTAACCCCAACTGCTCCAGGGGCGCTGTACAATGGCAGACCCTGTGCTCTGGACCCCAAGTTTCTCTCCATGTCTGTGTGTCTGTGTCTCATGGAGAGCAAGCTGGGGTATGTGAAAAGATGAATTCCTAATGCAAGAAATTGTATAGGGCTAATAAAGCAACATTATCATTATTATCATTATACTCCCTGCATTAGAAACACTGTTCTTTGTAAACAAAGTGGGGGGAGGTCACGGAAGAAAAGGCACTAACCAGCATTCCTCTGAAAACAACTGAATTTACTGCCAACATCGTCCACTGGGCATTCCTGAATAGGATTATTTCTACTTGACGTATTGGTATTCAAGAGCAGT